CTGTACCGCTGGAAATTCATAATCCGATTAACCGTGTCCAATTTTAACCACATTTCCTTATGTGAATCCATCTTTTAAGCAATATTCACGATGGAAATCGACTACAGGAACAACTGTTGAGTGCGTAAAAAAAAATGTCTTGCAGTCTGTTAAGTACCATGCTCTCCTGTGTTTGTCATTCTAACCTCTGTCTGGTATCAGTGTACTTACATCTATCATGTCAGAGTTCACTCAAAAAAAAAAAAAAAAAAAAGATGATTGCCAGCCACGATTCTCAAACTCCCAAACCCTACTCCACAACAAGGACACACTGCCAGCTTTTTTTTTTTTAATCTGAAAGCCTCTCACTCACTCTATCTCCTCTTTCTCTCACTCAATTTTTTCTCCCTCTCTAACCCTCTCTCTCTCTCTCTCTCTCCCTCTCGTTTCATCCCGGCATACTGACGTTAATCCAAATCTGGATTTCCAGATATTAAAAGGCTGACGGTCATGTCATGTTTTGGAAAGAGGAAACTGGGGAATTGGGTCTTCCTGTGTGTCTCAGCGGAGATAAAAACACAAGGGGATAAAGCAACAACAGGACCAAGAACAAAGAAGCTCCCAGTCTGCTGCTAATGATTTAGTGGAGCAAACCAGTTCAACGTTAGCGGTCCAGAATACCGAAAGAACTGGTCATTGCATGAAGGAATGTTGCTTTTTTTTTATTTAATAAAGCGGTCGGCTCCAAAGAGGGGTTTTTGTGTGTGATTTAAGGCCCTCTTTGTGGGTGTGGATCATTGGCCACAGAGTGACTAGTGAGAGAACAAAAGATCTACAGCTGCTGAAGTCATAAGAGAAACCAGGTGCCAAATGTTGATGTTGGGAAATATCTACAGTACAAATGTATCAGCCAAGTGAAAGCCATACAAGGGAAATAGCTGGCCTGCAACAAAAGCTCCAGCTCCAACACTGCACACGTACCACTACTGCTGACACATTAACATGCATATATGAATGCACACACTTCCATATACACAAATGCACACAGATTTCACAAGGACATTCAGGGTAGAGAGGAAGGTCTGCTCCCCGAGGTGCTCCGAGGAGAAGAGTGGGAGATGTGTGAGAGATGCAGTGCTGACTGGCCGAGACGACACAAGCTAAGGCTAGAGTGCGATGCGGTGGTCTATATTTATTCTCAGGTCTGCTAAATGAGGTCACTCAGGTGGTCCTGCTGAATACATTCCCCATCTCCATCATGAATCATCTGCTGCTTATTATTCCTGTCCAGCCCAGGAGGGTTTTGCTTTCATACAGCGCAATGGGCTTGTGTGCACGTGTGTGTATGTGTGTGTGTGTGTGTGTGTGGGGGTGCATGCGCGCCAGTGTCTATGCATGCGCGTGCGTGCCAGCGTGCGCAACATCTGCCCAAAGCACTGAACGAGGGGATAGATACAGCCCATGTGACAGACAGAGAGCAGGTTGTTTAATGAGAAAGTGGATGAGAGGTGACATTCATTGGCTACCTTTCACACACCGCCCCCCCATTCTCCACAGCATTCAGACTTCCACTTAGACGAGCCAAGCAGGCAGCGGGTAGTCACAGTAACCGCCAATAATAATGTCTACATTTTCAAACCAGAAAAAAAAAAAAAAGCTAAATACATAAACAGGCACAACCGCGATCTGATCACTCACACTTAGCATCAAGGAAAAACACCAGCACACAGAACTGTTTCATCCATTTGAGGCAAAGCAGGGAGCTGAACACAGCCTGTCAGGTATGTGTGTCTTGCACCAAACAGAGCGTCACAACAGAAATGGCTATTTCTCATACCTGCGACGTTTCCTATCTCGGTTTTTGTTTACATTAGGGAACCAGAGTCAAAGTGGGGAGAAGGAAAAGAGAGCCTATTTGCACAAAATATTTCACTCCTGAATGAGCACAGAGAGGGTTAGATTAGGTTTATGGGCCTGATTCCAGAGATAACCCTCCCCAGCAGATCTGGCATGCATGCAAGCACGCACGTGCAAACACACACACACACACACACACACACACACACACACACACACACACACACACACACACGCAAACACATACAGAGTGAGGTTGGCAGACTGGAATAATACTAGGGGATCTAGATGTTTGCACTTTGAACCTTTTCTAATCCTGAGTATTAGGGCATGGCTAAAGCCTGATTATGGCAGAATGAAATGGATCTAAATAGATGTCCCAGCCCATCAGCCCTCCATTTCTTTGTCCTAGAAATAGAAATGGAAATCAGTAATCAACCTCCAACCCCTCGCTTGCCGTCTCTCCCACGTAGCCTCCTCCGCCTCCACCTCCAGGTTTGGCATGGGCAAAGAAAATTCATTCAGACTTTTCATATCATCTCAGATGAATTAGGCGCACTCGGCTCAGCCAGTGTTTTCTTCTCGTGTTTCTCTTCGATAATAGAACTCGGCAGACAATAGAAAAAAAGCCATATCTATGACACTAGTGCCGTACATTTTTCAT